TGGGCTGAGGGACCTGCTCAGCTTCTCCTGCCCTCTCTGGGGCAGCCAGGTCCTCGTCCTCCTCAGCAGTTACCACTCCCTGTTCCCTGTCTTGTGCTGCACCTGAGCTTTGAGCCCCCCAGTTACCCCTGGAGTCCCCCCAGACCTTGGTGAGAGTTGAGGGGAGGCTCCATGGAGAGCAGAGCACAGAGGCTGTGCCATCCCTTCTCCTCCTGGAGACCCCAAATTTACCCAGTGGACATATCCCTGCATGCCTGGGGAATCTGCTGCACCATGCAGGGGCCTGGGCTCGTGCCCCTGCCTTTGAGATGAGTGGCTTTTAAGCAATTTAGTTTCTTGGGGTATATCTTAACATCTCTGTCACCAACTCTGCTGGTTGCTCCTCTCTGTTCTGTGTCACCATGCTGTTCTCTGTATCTAGCATTTTGCTGGTCTCAGTCACTTACAGACACTGGTTTTCCTGTTTCCTCCCCAATTTCTGCCAGAAACATTGCATGGCATAGGGTGGCAGTGCAGTTTGTGCTGCAGCCAGTGTTCCCAGTGACCTGCAGCTCTGTTTGGGATGTGCCAGTAAGGGGTTATCAGTGCTGTCATCCACTCCTGTGCACTTTAATGAGGTGTTTTATACCAGTGCTCCCTTTCACCTGCACAAAGGCTCCAGGTGAGGGGAGAGCTCTTTGCTTGGTGCTGTAATTGTGATTCCTGACTCCCTGACCTTGCACTGAAACCAGAGCCTTGCTGTGCCTGAGGTCTCACTCCCCACATTTACCAGGCTGCTTGTGCTGTGCTCAGGGACCATCCCTGCTGATGGCTCAGAGGGCTTTTTGGCATGATCTTACAAAGCTGAAGGTGTAAATTTATTTGGAGCTGTTGTTTAAGAAGGATCTATATTTAGTGCCTGCTGTTTAATATCATCCCAGGTTACTCCTGACAAATGTGACTGTGTTGTTTTCCTTTCTGCTCAGGACAGTAATGCTTATATTGCCTATTTCTTCCTTTAATGATTCCACCATTCTGTTTTTGTCAGCGAGACTTCTTATTGTCCTTAACATCTATAAAATCCCCTGTATCTTGTTTTCTAACACAACCTGCTGTTTAACTAGCAGGCTCATTCATTTAAGGAGCTGGCCTTATTTTAGGCACTTCATAATGATTTACAAATTCCAGGATTCATTAATCCCTTCGCTCATTAGGGTTGCAAGTTGATACATGTTTTTTCCATGTGATGAAGGTGGACATTTTTGCTGCCCTATTTGTCCTGGGCAATCATTCATGTTTGTGCACTGACAGAATACCTGGCTTGGTTCCCTTCCTGGCAGCTTTGGAGCAGGGGTGGGATGCAGCATTTAGGTCAGTTCTCCTCGGGATGTTGTTTCAGGAGTGGCCTTTGTGCTTCACACCACGCTGGTGCTGGGGCCAACCCATCTGTTCTTTGGGCTTCCCCTTTCTGTGGCACAAGGGAATCTGTTTCTCTCCTGATTTTCACCCATGATGTGAGAGAAAGAGGGATGCTTGGAGACTATCCAGAAATAGGGTGGAAAATGCAGATTTTTACTTTCTTTTCCCCCTTTATTGCTGCCTATTCACGGTGTCATAACTGAGCTCGAGGAGGGAAGGACAGAACTGTGTTCCTGCCAGCCCAAATAAAACCAGGGGCTGTTTGCATTTCCACTTACTTTTAAAAAAATTTCCTCACCTCCAAAATGGGCTGCAGAATCTGGGCTTTTATGGCTGCTAAGCTGCAGTGCAGCTCATCCTGCCCTGCTCTTTGGGAATCCTCTGTGGGCATTACTTCTCTGGCTGGGCAGTCCCCTGGTGGGCACCTTGTGTGCCAAAGCTGAAGAGCCATTATAATTATAAAGATACAGAAAGCATTGGAAATATCCATTTTTGGGTTTGTAGACTCGCTGTTAACTCAGAAAAACATTAAAGCCTAGAGCAGCTGTGGCTGCCCCTGGATCCCTGGAAGTGTCCAAGGCCAGGTTGGACAGGGCTTGGAGCAAGCAAGTTGGTACCTCAGGCTTGCTGGAGCTGTTCCCCATGGGAAGCATCTCCCTGCTGGCCCTCAGGGACCTCTGATGGAGCCAAACCTACAGAAGGTTTGGGCTCTATGTGCTGCTGACACCTCTCAGGAGCCCTGAGTGTTGTTACAGCAACAGATTCCGTATTATCCCAGCCTCGCGAGCGTCTCCCTGGATATTAAAAACACCAGCTAAAAGCCAAGTCCAAGCTCTCCATGAATGACTCTGTGGAAATGCTGTCGGGCACGTTTCAGAGCTGCTTTGGCTTTGATTTAGGCAGGTAAACACCGTGAGTGGGTGTTTGCTTTGACTTCTCCCTCGTAGCCAAAGACTTCCTTTGAGGGCAGGCAGAGCCTCCAGTGCTGCTCCCCATCACAGCAGCAGCCCAGTCTGCGTGTGCCTGGTGTTGGCAGAGCCTTCCCTGCATGCCTGGGCCCAGCAGCAGTGGGAACCCCCAGTTTCCTCAGGATCAGGGGTGCCCCTGCCCAGGGCTCCGCTCAGCCTGGCAGAGCCTGGTGCCTCCATCTGGATGCAGCCCAGTTGGGATGATGATGCAGGATGACATCCCTGGTTGGCAGCTCCTGCTTGTCCCACACTCTTTCTGCTCTGTCCCCCTTGAATCTACCCAAAATCAGCTGCAGGATGGCTCTGACACCAGAGATCACCTTTGCCATGTGGCGGGTGGTCGCTGGGGGAGGCAGGGTGGGTTCAGCCCGTCCTCTCCTTGCCCTGCTGCACCAAGAACTGTGCTCATCACACATTCCCCATCTCCACCAGAGCCATCAAACCCAGCTCCTTGGCAGCCCCTGCACGTAGGAAGCGTCTTCTGGTACCAGATTGTTGTGTATTTAATGAACCCAAGGAAAACAAGGCTGCGAAGGCTGCGGGGCGAGGCGAGTTTGCTCCTCAGTCTGCCAAATTCCCCCTCGTTCAGACAACCCACAGATGTTTGGCTGCTCCTGCCTTAAAGAGATTTATGGAAGGTGCAGGGCTTGGAAATTTATGGGGACATGGAAGTGGCAGTGTGGGCAAAGGTTTCCTGGCCCCGGAGGTCTCCTTCCCTCCCTGCACTGTCCCTTCCCTTGGTGTTGGTGGCAACGGGTGGACAAACAGCAGGGAAAGTGCCTTTGAGTTGCTAGGAGGATTAATAAAGGCTCCAGGTTCGTCTTTCAGGAGCTCTTTGAAAGCCATTTCTCAGCTGAGGAATGAACCCCCAGAGCCTGCCCAAGAGCCAAAGTGCTTTGGTCCAATGCAAACAGTGTGGGGTGTGCAGGTGACAGCAGGCACATGTGTGACCCTGTGCGGGCACAGACACCATCCACTGAAATTCTTTTCATTCTGCCTGCTGAGTTCAGGGAGAAAATTTCAATTTTTGGAAGGTTCTAAGTGATCATTTTGTTCGGCTTCACACGAGGGTTCTGCAGTCTTAAAGGATTTATCCATGAAGGGGAGGTGGTAGAAGATAACGTGGAGTCTGGCAGGTGATCCATACATCCAGGGTTCTCCTGCTTTAGATCCAGGCATGTCCATAAGGGCTGTCAGCCTCTACCTGTTTGCCATCTCAGCCTTGCAGAAGGGAGAAATCTGACTTACAAACAGCATCCAAATTGGCTCTGACAGCCATGGTGGTGCTGTGGGTCTTGGCAAGTGTTCCCCAATTACTCAGTGAGATGTCCCAGATCCTGCTCCTGCCTCAGCTGGGTGGGTTTTCAGTGGTCACTGATGAGCAGCAGTGTTACAGTCAGTGCTGCAGCTCTGAATTCACTTGACATCTCCAGGATTTGCTTCTCACAGGGACCTTGAGAGCTCTGGAGCCAGCAAGTCTGAAAATCCCCCTACCTGAGGGTGTGAGGCCCTGGCACAGGGTGCCCAGAGCAGCTGTGGCTGCCCCTGGATCCCTGGCAGTGCCCAAGGCCAGGTTGGACAGGGCTTGGAGCACCCTGGACACATGGAAAGTGTCCCTGTCCATGGCTGGGGTTTGGAATGAGATTTAAGGTCCCTTCCAAGCCAAACCATTCAGTGGTTCTAACCCTGAGAGCATTATTACGTGTCTGTAAGCAGATGGGGGCAGTTTGATACAGGTACTCTGAGGGGTTCATGAGCTGTTTGAAGTTGTTTGTGCTTGAGCAATGAGTCAGTAACAGCAGTGTGGTGGGGCTGGCTTCAGCTCAGGCATCTCAGGCTGTATATTGGAAAAGAATATAAGGAAGGAACAAGAATTGGGTTTTTGTGCCTGTTTACTAGAGCAGCATGCTCTGAGCAGTAATTAAAAGTAAACCCAGACCGTGCTGCCTTGTTCAGCATCCCTACTTGTTGAGATTAAGCAGCCAAAGCAATTCTCAATTCAGCAATTCCTCAGCTTTTGGGAGCGTGGCCAATACTCACAGTGTCTCACAGACCACTGCAAATTCTTGTAATAAATCTCACAACTGGGGCGGCGGGGGAAACCCACAGAAAGGTGAGATGGACCAGCAGGCTGGACTGCTGCTGCTGCTGCTTCAGCTGCTCTTCTCCAGGGACAGCCCTCCCAGGGACAATTCTTCCATGGAAATAGTACTCAAAGGTAGCAGTGGAATACTGAGTGGGATAGGCAACAATTGCTCCAAGAAAATGTGTAATTTCTGTGGTCATTGGGACTGGAATCAGCTGTAGGCTCTGTCTGCATGGCCCACACTTCCAGGGATGGAGCAGCCACAACTTCTCTGATTAACCTGTGCTGGACCCTCACCACCCTCACAGGGAGGAATTTTTCCTAATATCTAATCCAAGCCCACTCTCTTTCAGTTTGCAGCCATTCCCTGTCCTGCTGCTTCCCAGGGCTCCTGGCTTGCACCCCTCTCTTGCTGCTGGCTGTTTTGCAATGACTAATTTTGCTTTCTTCTTTTCCTTTTCAGTTGCCAGGGAGGAAAAGGCACAGTCACTGCCAGCACCATTTCCTTCGAGCTAAAGATGTTGAGACAAAGCACCTCTGCCCCTGCCCTGTCCTTTCAGCCCTTCTGCTGCTGCTGTGCCCAGGACTCCCTCCCCTGCCACTCCTGTTCCCTAAGAGCACGGGGGCAATAAACCTTTTACCCAGGTAGTTGCTGTGGAATTTTCCTTAATTCCTTATTCCTTTTCTTGTGAGTGCTTGCCTGCAGTTGAGGCTCAACCCAAGCACGTAGATCTGGGCATGAGCTTGGACTTGAGGCTCTCCCTGGAGATTTGGGGGTGTTTGGATGTGTGGTTTGGGCAGGGGACCCTCTGCCTTGTGTGACTTTGGTGTCAGGCTGAGGCAGTGCCATGCACGTGGAGCAGGGGATGGGGTGAAATAACAGAGTTTTGTTTGCTTGTTCATTCCTTTATGGCTGTGGGCAGGACCCTGGTGTGGCTGTGGTTCCTGGTAGTGAGGGTTATCTCAGGCTCCATCTGTGGTGGCTGCACGTGGCAGTTTTGGTTGCTAACGTGTCCCCATGGGATGGGTGATGTCCTGGGAGACCTCAAGCTCCTTCTGGCTATGGATTTCCTAGCGTGGCTGTAGTTCAGGGAGGAAATTTCAATTTTTGGAAGGTTCTAAGTGATCATTTTGTTGGGCTTCACATGAGGGTTCTTCAGTCCTAAAGGTTTTATCCATCCAGGCTCCATCCAGGATGCCCTGGCAGGACAGGTGAGCTCTGGGCTGTGCAGGTGAGATCCTGTGTTCTTGTGTGAAGCTGTTCCTCACAGGCACTGAGGTGATGATGGTTCCTGAGGCTGTGCAGACCCTTGGAGGACCTCACCTCACACCCTGCTCCCCCTTTGCTGTTACATGCAGGCAAGTCCTTTACTTGCTAATTAAAGCGTGTCCTTGCCTTGTTAGCCCTGGAGAAGCCTAGTCTGGGTGCAAGCAGGAGGCAGGGGAAGGCATTTCCTTGCTCCTTTCCTTTGGCTGGCAGCCTCTGAGTGCCTGGAGCATGGGGCAGCAGGAGGTTTTGCCAGGCAGGAGTGGAGCAGTGTGAGAGCTGTGATGTCCTGGGTGGTGTTTGTCCTTCCAGCACCCTGTGGAGCAGGAGGAACAGACTGCAGGCTCGGGGCAGGGCTGCAGCCTTTCTCCTCCCTAGGCTGGGCATCCTGGGGCAGCTCTCTGCTCCTGACAGAGTCCCAGGGGACAATCCTGAAGCCGCTGCCTCCGTGGAAATTCCATCCTTTGAAAGCCGCATGCGCTGGCTCGTGATCCTGTTTGCTCAGGACTAGTCCATGGGGCATTTCCAGAGTGTAAAGATTTCTTCTCGGGCCCTGAATGGCATCTTTCACATTTATTGGAGGTTTTCACCCCATAAATAAACTCAATAATCCCTAATGGCATAGGCTCAAGCAAGGGGAACAAACTGCCCAGAGCTGAGCCTGCTCAGCCCTGTTGCAGAAGACAAATTATTGCCTGAGTGAGGAAATAAACCCTGACTGAGCTACATGCAAATGATAGACTTCATGGATTTTTTCCAAATTCATAAGACAATAAATCAAGAAATTGAAGATGTACTCCTTGGCATTGTCCAAAGCCCTGAGGGTGAGACAGGCTGTGCCATGAGGAGATTCAGTGTAGCCCAAATCACTTCTAAGAAATGGAAGGACGGGGAGATAGGCATGATTTTTATTTTGGGTGAATATTGCCACATTATGCTTGCAGAAAGCCTTATACCCCACAATTTTCAATTCCAGTCACCAGTTTTGGCTCTTTGCCCCAAATCCTTTGTAGCCTCCTGGAGGGTTTGGGAGGGGATGACCAGTCTGGTCTGACTGCACAGAGAAATCAAGGTATGCATAGAGGAGGGAATTTCTGTGTCACTGCTGAGGGTGGGATGGTGCTGGAGCCCTGGAATCGTGCTCAGAGTTTGGCCCAGAGGGATTATGTAGAAATAGATCTGTAGAAAATTTTAAAAATTCAACACAAATTTTACATAGTGTATATTTGTATGTAAATTTTGAGATAAGAAATGTTGACTTAGAGATACTATAGAATAGGACAGACATTAAGAGAAAAATTAAACTAAAAACAAGTTTCAAAGGATGGCTTTGTGGGCAATATTATATACTTTAGAGAAATAGAACTATAAAAGATGTATTGTAGTAGGATTTAGATACTTTAGAGAAATAGAATTATAAAAATTGTATTGTAGTAGGATTTTACACTTAGTTGTAGTAGGAGTACATTTATAGTGTATTGTAATTAGAAAATAGCTTCTGATTGTGATGGCATGAATTATAACATCTGTACTGTCTCACCCTTCTCATGAGACTGAAATAGGAATAAAATTTTTTTAAAACACCTCTTAGTTGCCCATCTCTGGGTCAGAAAAGAGCAGAAAATCCAACAGGATTAGCTTTGGTTCTTCAGACATGTGGGTCTAACCTGCATTGAATAAATTCCAGAAATCCCAGAGGTTCCTTGCTCAGCCATTTTCTTCCAGCACAGCACAGGGAATGGTGCTGGGGCAGGGCTGGGGAGTGGGGTCCTGCTTGGGTCATGGATTCCTCACTTTGATCAGCATTAAAAATTCAGCAGGGGCAGGTGATTTATATTCTGAGAGAATTCTCACTGTTCTGCTTGTGAGGTGTATCAGTATGCAAACCACAGCTCCAGCTCCTTGTTCCCTGTGCCCTTTCCACTGTAAATAGGTTTTATGTCAGTGTGTGTGGCTGGAGATGGATTATTGAGCTGGACACGGGTTGAATGTGTTCTGTGCAGAGGGGTGATCCCACAGCAAGTGGAAATCTGTGTGGTGCTGATCCTCAATCTCAACAAGGAGCATTCTGGGGGTCAGACCGTGGAATCATGGAGCTGGTAGGGCTGGAAAACAATTCTGAGATCATGGAGTTGGTAGGGTGGGAAAACACCTCTGTGATCATGGAGCCCAGCTGTTTCCCCAGCACAGGCAAGGCCACCACTAACCCATGTCCCCGAGTGCCACATCCCAGGGCTTTTAAATCCCCCCAGGGATGGGCACTCCAGGCTTGGTAACCCTTCCTGTGGGGAAGTTTTCCATCATTTGCATGGGGATGTGGCACTGGTCACTGCTCAGGCTCCCTCCAGCTGTGGCAGAGCATCTGGCAGACAGTTTGCTGAATCCTGAGGTGTTTTCCATGCAGCTCAGTGTAGCAGGTGAGCAGGGCATGGCTCTGAGTGGTGCTTGGAGCCTGCTGTGTTACCGGTCATGTGTGAGACCCCCCTGCAGGGAAGGGCTGTTTATCCCCCATGAGCAGCTCTAAGGCTGTGCTTGTGCCTTGTAAGGAGCATGTTTGTTCCTCAGAATTTATCTTTCACGCCTGTGCATGAGAGTTGGATCATTCCACTTAATTTTTTTCCAAGGCAAACACTCCACAGGTGTGATACTGTTGAGAAAGCAGCTCTGAGAGAAACCTCTTCCCACCTCTGCCACTGCAAAGATCATATGAGGCTTCTCCTTGGTCTGTGTTTTGAACCATGTAGAAAGCAGGGTTTGCTAAAATGTGGGGATTTCTGTGCCCTAGAGTTTCTTGGGGGCTTTTCATAAAGCTCAGGAGATTTTGTCAATCCTAGTGGCCGTGGCTCGAGTCTAAACTTAACCTTGACATCATGATGAAGATAGTTCCTTTATCTGATTGCAAATGAGGAAATACATTTCTTAAAGTAATTAATGGTCCCTGCAGAGCATCTTTTTATTACCGTGTGTGTGTAGCAGTCTATAAATACCCAGTGGTTTCCTCCTCAGCATCAATAGGGTCCATCCTGGCCCTGCAGCTTGTGTCCCATGGCACTTGTTTGCATGGAGAGGATGTGACAGGGCAGGGCCGTGCGTCAGGAGCCCTGGGAGGCAGGATGGGGAGCCAGAGATCACATTTCACTGGAAAGTTTCCCTTGTTACTGCAGTTTCTCCATGGGGATGGCTCCAAAACCCAGCCAAGCAGGGGATGAAGTTGCTGATACCTGCAAGTGCCTCAGCCCCAGTGTTGAGGGTGGTGGTGGCTGCCAGCTTGGCAGCACTTTGCTGTGTTGCCTGTCATTAGGGCTGTGTTAATTGCAGGGAGGTGTGATGGTGTGTGCTGCATGCTGGCCAGGGCAGGGAGCCTCTGCCTGTACTTGCTGCTGCTCCTGCCTGGGTGTGTACCCGAGTCTGCTGCTGCAGCATTAACCATCACCTCAGGGAAGGGCAATTATTCCTGAAGAAATCATACCTGGTGAAGGTGCTTGGCTGCTTTCATGCTGCTCTGAACCCTTGTTTGATCTTTGTGCCAACGGTGCCCCAGTGTCTTCCCAGCACAGAGTTTGTCACTGCAGCCAGCACTCCTGGCTGTGTCAGGGTCAGGGACAGCTGAGGTTGTCATACATGGAAATCACAGGGTCACAGGATGGTGTGGTTCAGAATGCACCTTAAATTCATCTCATTCCACCCCCTGCCAGGAACACCTTCCACTGTCCCAGGTGCTCCAAGCCCCATCCAGCCTGGCCTTGGGCACTGCCAGGGATCCAGGGGCAGCCACAGCTGCTCTGGGCACCCTGTGCCAGGGCCTGCCCACCCTCACAGCCAAGAATCCCTTCCCAGTATCCCATCCAACCCTGGTCACAAATTATGTGTCATTTTGACACTCTGAAATGTTTACTTTTCTATCTGACAGTTTTCACTTGGTCACTGGGCTGCCTAGAGGTTTATGATGAAGTTACCAGTAAGCTGTAAATTATGATTCCATTGATAGCCCACAGAAAGCTGGAGACTGGACCAGGTACTCTTGGGAACAGTAAATCTTCAGAAAATGTATTGATTCCCAATCTTGGCTTTGCACTCTGGATGAACTTTGTCCTCATAAAATAATAGAAGGTGATTTTTCTTTACCAGCCAGCTGGCCTTTAAATGAGCTACTCTTAACACCACTGGAAGCTCTAATCCAAGTAAACATGGACAGGATGATTCAGGAGCTCGGAAGAGCAGCCATATCAGTTCAGCATAACGGTTAATACCTACTGGAATATTTTCATCCATCATCCTTAAACATCACAATTGGCTTTGACAGGATGGTACCAGATCAGTGTTTTGTGCTCTTTGGATTGTGCAAATGGTGAGTTTGGTTGTTTGCATTAACGAGCAAAGCAGCAAAATAGAGAAACAGGATTAGGGGAGTGATTTGGGGAAAATGCTGATTTCAGTAATCAGATTTCAGTTGCAATCTGTCTGCTTTACAAGGGAATAAATCTGCTGGGGAGGATGCCAGCAGGGCTCATGGTCAGGGCTGGCTTGCAGTTTTCATTTCAAGAGCCTCCTTGTTGTCCAAGTTTCCTAAAGCTACCTAAGAAATAGTTGGAGATCAAGAGGCATGGTGTGGCTTTTAGGGATTCAGGGCAAGGAGCTGTCCCTCCTCCCTTGCAGGAAACTCTTTGCCTGGTGTTTCTCCCTAAAGGGCTCTCCATAGATTGGGAATCATGGAGTGATTGGGTGGGATAGGTGAATCCAGGGGATTTCACAGCCATAATGATGCTGGAGAGGCTTTTTCTGTTGGACATCTGCTCCCAGCTGGTCTGGGGGCAAAGGGTTTCTGTGGGATCAACCCTGGAGCTCTAATGAGCTCTTCTTTCAATCTTTTGTATCTTCAGTATGGGGGATGCCAGTCCTCTCTTCAAATGGAGAATTCAGAGGAAACTTCATTAATTTGACTGCAATTCAGAGGAAACTTTATTAATTTGGCTGCAATACTTGTGTCCCTGTGGATGACCTTGTGTACCTTGTGTGCTTCCAACAGCTCCTGTGAGTGCCCCATCCTGTGCTGGTGGGGAGCAGAGGGACATCCACAACATTTATGATCCTAAAATAAGCACACCCCTCAAATAACCACCATCAGGGTGTTTTTTAGGCAGTGCTTGCCCCTTGCCCAGTGCATCCACCCCCCTAAAGCTGTTCCTGTCTCTCTCTTTGTGCAGGGAGCTTTCCCCACCCCGAGGCTGTCCCTGCACATCCCCGAGGAGCTGGCAGGGCCCAGCCTCTCCTGGGGGATCATGGACTGACAGAGGAGCTTTGCCAGCCCCAGCTGCCAGCACCCTTTGCCTGGACCCTGATGGAGGCAGGACTGCATTACCATGGTGATGATCTTAACCAAAACTCGGGAAAACAAAGGTGCTGACTCCGTAACATGCAGGACTGAGCTGGTAAGCTTTGTGAAATCTCTTCTCAGAACTCTTTCACTGCCAAGAACTGTGCTGTAGCTTTGTAATAAAGCTTTTCTGTCCTGCAGGGATGGGTCTTTAGGTGGTTTGTAGTGCTGATTTCTACAAAGGTGCATTAATATCCAAAGAGCAGGTGATTAGTAAATGATTGGAGTGCTGTGGCTTTTGCATATGTGGATTTCAGTAAGCACCAAAGGGGATAAAAAGCACAAAAAAAATGAATTCAGTGCTGTGAATCACACAGGTGAGAATTTGCTTCACCGACAGAGAACAGATGCTGATCATTAATAGGAGGATGAGCAAGAGGGAAGCAGGATTAAGTGGGAGATGGTGAAGGGCAGTGCTGTGGTACTTAATTTCTCTGGGAGCCTGGAGAGGTGCAAATCCACCATGCTGAATGAGCAGGAAACAGCAAATAAAGCAAATGAGAGGTGGCAAACAAACTGAGGGATGCTGTGAGGGCTCAGTGTACCTGTGGTAGGGGAAAACAAGGGGCAACATGGCTGGAGGCAGGGTCAGAGCAAACGAGGAGGTGCAGGGTGGTGGAGAGCCATCAGAACACTGCTGGTTGTGGCCATCTGCCCCCCTGTTCTCCTGGAGAGATGGGCATGGTCTGAGGAGAAACTGGCCCAAAGGCTCTGAAAGTCTGTGTGTGCAGGAAGCATCTGGCAGGATGAGCCATACACGGGCATTCTGAACATAAAAGAAATAGCAATGCCTGAGTTTGCTGAGGGTGACAGGCTGTCCAGCCGGGCTCCTCAGGCAGAGAGCACACTGTGCTGGGGTGAAGGCAGGCTGCCCTGGCAGGGAAAGGCAGAGGAGAAGGTGAGCAAGCCAGAGGCAGTGGAGAATACTGCCTTAAAAGGGTGAAATCTGGGAAGGGTATTGATACATTAAGAAATACCCTTGCTGCAGTGTTAGCTCCTGTGGGAAGGCAGCATCTCCCATGGCTGCTGCTCAGGGTGGGAAGGGGAAGCCTGAGCTTTCAATGCCAAGCTGTGCCCTGGGCAGTGTGTGGGGCAGGTGAGGGGGAGCTGGCTGCAGAGAGGCAGGTGAGAGCAATTTCTTGTACTCCTCAGAAAAGGGCTGGGTGCTCAGGTGTCTGGTGGTAGAGATGCAGAGCTGTAACACAAAACTTTGCCCCCATGTGTTTGCCCAGTGCTTCCCACAGCTCTGGGGCTGGGTCAGGAGTGCAGGGACAGTGCTGGGTACACAAGGGGAATTGCTGGGTTGCCTGGATTGTTAAATTGGGGCAGACAATCACAAGAAGGCTGATCCACTGAAGAAAGCAAGAGTTTTTCTGTTGACTTCATGGAGAAGGCCAAAAAGTGAAACCCAAAGGAAATAAATGTCTGAGCGCTGGGGCAGTGTCTGCTGCCAACAGCCAGTGGGCCCCTTTGGTTCAGCTCCCAATTTGGTATGAAAATTCTTACAAAATGGTAATTATACTCAATATGGGACATATGTCAGGCTCCTCTCCTTCCTGCCTTGCAGGCAGTGCCTGCTCTCTGGGGCTGGCACACAGATGTGCACTGGCACAGCCCCTGCCTTCTCTGGGGCTTGTCCCACTTCCATCTCTGCTCCACTTTGGCTGCTCCTTGGAGACAGCTGCCTGTCCTCTCTGCCTCCTGATTAATTCTGCTGATGGATCATAAGGTGGGGCTTGACAGATGGAGATATCCTCACTTCACCCAGAAGAGTGGCACATGCCCCAGAGGTGACTGACCCTTATTTACCTTCTCCACATCCTCACCCTGTATTGTTTCATGCCTCCCTGCCCCTCTACACTCAGTATTTCCAGCATTCTGCATATGAAGTGGGAGCCTTTTATTGGATTGCTCACGTGCCATAATTTGGTACATTATTATTATTATTATTATTATTATTATTATTATTAGTATTATATCTCCAGTTCTCATGATGCTCTGGAGATTCTGGCACAGAGAAGCTGTGGCTGCTCCATCCCTGACAGTGTCCAAGGCCAGCTTGGATGGGGCTTGGAGCAACCTGGACACATGGAAGGTTCCCTTTCCAGGTGGACCTGGATGTCTTTAAGTCCTTTCCAATCCAAACCATTGTGAGATTCCATATTTATGTGAGCAGGCAACGTGTGAAATGTGGATCAGGAGGGAAGGTGTGAGTGCAGTGGCCCAATGCCAGATAAAACACAATTATGGCAGTGCAGACGGACGTGGGGGCTGTGCTGGTGCTTCCCTCAGATGATGTAAAGCCCCAGTCAGATGGGATGGTGTTGCCAGGATAGACACTTCAGAAGCCAGAACGTGGATATTTTTAGGGATAATAAAAGAACAATTAGTATGAAAGTGTGTTTTTGCAGGCATAGCTGGAATGGCATGCAGCTGTGGGTAACATATTGATTTATTACATGTGAACCCATCCATGCTCATTTTTAGAAGTCTGATGGTGCTTCTTATGCTGTCAAGAGGAAAATTCTTGGGGGAAAAAAAAAAGAGTGTGAAAAGCAACCAGGATTATGTTGTACCCATGCAGTGGCATTTCCCCCTATTTTTAGTGCAAATCAGCATAATCCGAGTGCAGACTCCCCAGAAGTGCTGAGATGAGGATACCTTGCCTTAGAAACACATTAAATGCTTGAAAAAGCTAAATAGCTGCTTTGTCCCTTTATGGGCTTGGATGAGGCTCAAGATACCACTTTTGCTCCTTTCTTGCCCAATCCAGGATTCCCACTGAACTGCAGCTCCCATTTTAGTTCCTCCAGAGTTTTGGGACCTCACTGCAGCTCTTCCCTGAGGTAAGGGCTGGCTGCAGGACCCTTGATCTGCAAGCTGAGGCCTTGAAAAGGTCTCTGCACAGAGTTTAATTAAAGTTGATTTCCTTGAGGAAAGGTGGCTGTGTCTGTGCCCTGGTCCCTGCTGGAACAGGGCCATGGAAGGCTTTGCCCAGGCTGGAGGATGGTGTTTGGTGCCCAGGTTGGGTCTGTGAGCAGTGAATAGTTTTTCTGGTTGTTTGCAGCACACTCCAAAGATGAGTCAAGGACCTACCCTGTTCTCCTGTGGCGTGATGGGTAAGTACAGAATCTTCTCTCTGTGTTTCCTCTGCTCCCGCTTCCTCACAGTGGTGGGTGGGAAGCTGTCCTGACTTTTGGATGCCTCCAAAACAACTGCCCTGCAGCCCACCCCACCACACCTGTGCCCCTCTCCTCCCCAGAGGTGCTTTTTGTACCCTGCTGCCATTGCTGTGTGAATTGCTTATCTCCTTTCTCCTCTCCTTTGCTACATCTGCTTATTTTTAGAGCTACTCTTACAGCTGAGATTATAGACACTTGGGGTCTGAAGTTGTGTTTGAGTATCCAGCCCAAGACTGTGGCTCTTGACTGTTTGCATGATGCAAGCAATAGATGACAGCATTATGAGATGTTTGTACTACCTGGCACAAAGTGGTTGGACAGGCCTCAAACAATAAGGAAAATGTCTCATTTTTGCTGCTGACAGGAAACATGGTATAATATGTTTGACACCTTTTATGCCAGAGCTTGCTGTCAGTTTTTATGCTGAACAGCCACCAAAATGGAGGGAGGGTTGGTGCCTTGGCTGATGATGCTGAAACACTGATAGTGCCAGAGGATGTGCTGCTGTGCTCTTCTCTTTGGCCTTCCTAGCAGGGAGCCAACCACTGGGCCAGGCCTCAAAACCCAATTAAAATTGTAGGTCAAGTTTGAGCCAAGCTCCTTGCTGTGAGAGCCAGTCCTCCACAGACAAAGAGGCTGTCCCTGTTGCTCATGGACACAGCTCTCATTAGTGTTAATGAGAGCACATGCACTGACAGGAGATGTCCCCCAAGCTCTCTGATAGCTCCAGCCATTGGCAGTCTGGGAAGATGGACAGCATTTGTGGGGTTTTTGAGATGAAAATCAAAGTCAAGAAGGGATAGAGACAGCCCCTTGCCTCTCCCCTGCCTTTCAAACACGAGTGAGGAACAAAGAACCCAAATCAGATGGTTTTGTCTTGCACTGTGCCACTGGCAGGCTCTTCAGCAGATACAGAGTCTCTGCCTAATTGAGGAGCAGCCTGTCTTTAAGGGCTTTTACAGAGCCTTCTGCCAAATTATCCTCCCTCTGAGGGAACTGAATGTCACCTCCTTGACCTCAGCTTGCCCTGCTGTGGTCCCTGTCATGCCCAGTCAAGAGGAGCCCATCCTTCCCTCCTGTGAGGGCATCGCTTGGCTTGGGTTTCATTCTAGTTATTTTCCCTGAGAGTTCTTGATGTCCCCAAATGCAGGCCACAATCACAGACTAACCCAGGATGAAAACTTGATTGACTTTTTAAATAAGTTACTATCAAAATGCAAAACTTGGGGAATATTTTAGTTCAAAGGGCCAAGTCTCTGTTAGTGGAAAGCACTGAGATAAATAAACACAGTGAAGTTTGGACTGGTAGCACAGACAACAAGAGGCAAAGACTCCCAGTCCTACCTATGTGGGAGGTTTGGAGGGAAGTTGGCTGATTTTTTTTGGGGTTTTATATAAAAGATAATCTTAGAAAATAATCTTTCTGATACCTTTGGGGTGAGGGCAGCTTTGGGCAGGAAGGCAGTTTATTTCTGGACTCTGTGGCCATGGGGCAGCAGGGCAGAGGGAAGCTCAGCCCCTGCTAAGGAGAGCATCATCCAAACCCTGGAGCTTCTCTTGTAAGGTACCAAACACTGCAAGAATCTGAAAATAGATTATAGATTGTAACCAAACTCAGTATATTGAGTAGACATTCTTTAAGACTTGATATATTGGATGATGCATGGTTAGGACCCATTCTCAGGGTGACCTAAATAATCTTTTGGCTTTTAGATTTGTGAGAAATATTTCTGCCAGTGAAATGATAATATTACTAAAAAGGTTGGGGTTTATCTCTATATAGCCCTTTGCCTGGAGGAAGATTAAAGGTGAAATGCCTAAAACAATAAATTCAACAGCTACTGCTTTCTCTTCTCCTTGATGGGTCCTTGAAACACCCAGGAGTATAAGAATTGTCCTGTTGATGGATAGTTTGCTGGTTTGGTTTTTTTCTCTTCCTTTTTTTTCTTTTTCCTTCCTCAGCAGTCCCCATGGCAGGTCCCCAGTGAAAATATCTGTGCTAGAAAAAGGTGGCATATTGGAAAATTGTGGGATTAGGGTGGTGAGGGCCTGGCACAGGCTGCTCAGAGCAGCTGTGGATATCCTATCCCTGGAAATGTTCAAAATCAGGTTGGATGGGGCTTGGAGCAACCTGGGATAGTGGAAGGTGTCCCTGCCCATGCCTTTTGCTATCCACCCTAAGACAGAAAAATTCCAATACAGGAAATCAAAAGTAACAGAACCCCAGAATGGTTTGAGTTGGAAGGGACACTAAAGATGATTTCACTCCACCTCTGGCCATGGCCGGGACACCTTCCACTGCCCCAGGTTGCTCCAAGCCCTGTCCAACCTGACCCAGTGAGAGAAGCTCAGTAGGTGTGTGCTGACAGCTGAGATCTCCTGTCTTCTGTGTAAACAAGAAATTATCTCTGAGGGAACCTGCAGGCAGGCTTTTATTGAGGCAGTGACAAGGTGCTTGCACATGCAGCATCCCATGATTGTAAAAGGCAGGAGGAGGAGGAGGAGGATGGCTTTGAGCCACCGAGACAGATCCTGCACTCTGGGAAGTGCTCTTTTCAAAGAGCATCATTTCCATTTTCCCTTGGAGGGCTCTCAGAGTTTGCCCTCCCAGGGTGCTGCAGCAGAGCAGGGTGAGGGATGGGGCACTCAGGTCAGTTTGTCTGTCCTTTGGCACTCTCACGTCACTCCTCCACCACGTTTGGCAGCACCATTGCTCTGAGCATGCCAGGGCAGGGCTGCAGCCTTGGGCTCACTGTTGCACAGCTCTTTCTTGGAAATGGCTTTTCACCATCCTTGGGAGACAGAGGAGAGCCAAGAAACCAGGAGAAAAGAGAGCTCATGGAATCATGAAGGTTGGAAAAGACCTCTAAGATCATCAAGTCCAACCTTGAACCCCTTCATAGGGGTGATGGCCCTTGAATGCATCCTGAAAGCACCTGCCAGTCTTGCATGCCTCCTCTTTCTGAACCAGGGCTTTCTGGATTTTGGGTATTGTTTGGAAAGGCCATCAATGGTGCACATTCAAACACAGTCACCCTGCAGAGAGAAAAAGCTGCTGGGAGTGTTCTGGTGAGGTGTATCTGGAGCAGGGACACCTCTCCAGAGGATCCCACTGAAGAGCTGGGCAGGTTTCACTGTCAAGGTTGGGATTTCCCTCCCCCATGCAGGCTGTTGGCACAAGGAGCCCACAGGTGTGTTTAATCTCCAGAGCCGATTTTGAGGCTGTTGTTTTCATTTCCCGTTGAAGCACAGCTCTGCCCATCGTATTTTGATCTTGTTTCTGCACTAGGAAAGCTCCCTGGCACTGCCATCAGCTAATTACAACCATTAAATGTGTCCCATACTTAGAAATTATCTCCTGAACATAAACAGGGGGCAGTGGAAAATGCAGGCTCCCTTTTCCCCTGTGCACAGGAACTGTGAGACCAAAATTCCACTTGAACAACATGGAAAAAAAGGGAATTGGATGTGCACCTGTGCCCAGACAAATGTTTGGGTTAGGTTCCAAACAGAATCTATCTGCCAAAAAGGATAAGAAAAATTGATTGAAACCTCTAATTGCTTTACAAGTTGCCATAATAAATTATGTATTAATGTAAATTATTTCATGGGAAAAGAACGTAGAGGAAACTTGAGCAGAAGGATCATGCATTATGTATAAAAAGGAACTGTAAAAATATTATAGCAGCACATTTGTGTCGCTGTAGTTAAAGTTATGTCAGCATTTTGGTTTTACACCCCTCTCTGTGGTTATGGGTGGCCAGTAAAATTTACTCTGTGTCACCAGAGGGGCACAGCAGTCATTTGAAAAGCCCAGGACCATCACTGAACTGCCTGATGTGTCTGTGGGTGCTCCTGCAGCTCAGCCTTTGGAAACCTGGCTGTGGTGCTCTGAGGGTGGATCCTGTTCTCTGTGGAGCAGTGCAGAGCTCTCGAGGATGGAGAACAACACCCATGTCCCCAATTTTGGGCTGTGACTCCAGTCCATGAGCACCACAAGGGTTTGTTTGATGTGGTGAAGGTTTTGTGAGAGAGCAGCTGGGTTTTGTTGAGGTGTCAGTATTAATTTTTGCAGTTTTAACTCAAAATCCAGAAGTAAGATGCTGCTTCATCCAGGGACACCAACAGCCAAGAAGGACCTGTTTAAGCAGGGCAAGAGCCCCTCAGGCTGCACTTACAGCGTGCTCTGGTTGTCCCTTTGTTCTCCCATAGGCAAAGGAGAGTTTTCCAGCCAGGCAGCTCACTTGCAGACCAAGGGCTCTCGTGGTGAGTTTTATCCTGGAACAAATTGCTGCCTCAGGGTAAACCAGGCTGAGGTTTGTAGTTTAAGAAAATTAATACATGTTTAACTGCAGCAGAATTAATGGCTCCAGTGCAATTATCGTTATCAACGTGCGCAGGATGGGACTTTTAGTCTTTAAAAACTGAGCAGAAAACCAGCTGCTTTTCCTCACTAAGGCTTTCCAGAGCTCTTTAATTATACCCTCGGCCTTTAGACTACTCCATTTTCAATTTTTTTCAGGGCAATCTGCTTCCTACTTGCACTGAAAACCCATTTTCTGGGCTATGTAGCATTTTGGGACTGGTCAGTGATGGCTGGGGACTCGGAGGGATCAGGTTGTGCCAGCTCACATTGTGCAAGGGGAAAAGCAAATAACCCCAAGCTGGGGCTGGGGATAGTGGTGCTTGTACCATTTTCTTTGCCAGGTTTGGAAGATTTATAGCTGTTTGTGCTGAAGCAGGGGTGAAAGAGGAAGGTGTCCCGTATCCTCCTCACCAAGGCCTTTTGTACAGTCTCCGGCCAGAGGATCGTGGCAGCTTGCCATGAAAAATCGGCTTCTATTTCTGTTTCTTTTGTCTGCTGACCTGACCCAAGAAATCTCTCTGCTGGCAGCATAGTACAGAGGAAAAATAATAAAGATCTAAACATAGATGGAGTTGTCTAGAGCAGATTTCTCACTTTTCATTGTGTTTATTAAAATGAGGAGAGCAACAGTTGAAATGCTGTGCGGTTCCTGCGGGCAGAGCCAGGCTGTTTGTGGCTGGAGCTGTTATGGCAGCAGCTGGAGAAGGGAGAAATGGGAAAATCGGCCAAGAGTGGTGCAAGGGGCCCCAAATCTGACCTCCTGACTTGAAACCTTAGTCAGAAGCGTTCTGCACCGTTGCATCTTCCCTACCAGGCTGGTACCTGCAGCTGCGGGCTGGGCATGGCTTTTGATTCATCCTTTGGTTGCCTGAGTGGAAATACCCAAAAAGCCCCCAAAACATTGCCTCGTTTAGATACAATCATGTGAAACTTGGCAGCGAGGGCTCTCCAGCACGGCTGGGCTCTGTGTGCAGCAGCCACCGACAAAAACAGGCCCAGGGGAGAGGCTGTTGGCTGATGACTTTTTTCCACTGCAGCAGCTGGCGGGGTTGTCCTGCCATGGTTTTCCTGCTGAGTGTTGAAGGTGTATCTGCAGAGAGCCCCGTCCTTTGCAGGGCAGCCCAGCCCTGAGAGTGCTTTGCTTTCTTCTTTTGCTGTCAGTGGGATGTGTGTGGGAATGAGATCATCCTCCGTAATCCTCTCTTCCACCGTGGCTGTCCATGGGAAGATGGGGAAGGGTCTGGAGCACAAGTCTGATAAAAACAGCTGAGGGAGATGAGAGGGCTCAGCCTGGAGAAAAGGAGGCTCTGGGGGCACCTTGTCACTGTCCACAACTCCCTGACAGGAGGGTGCAGCCAGGTGGAGATCTCCTTCCAGGTAAAAAAGTAATAAAACAAGAGGAAACTGCCTGAAGTTGCACCAAGGGAGGTTTAGATTGGATTTTAGGGAAAGGGCTGTCCAGGCCTAGGCAGTGGTGGAGTTCCCATCCCTGGAGGAATTGAAAAGCCATGTGGACATGGTCCCTGGGGACATGGGTTAGTGGTGGCCTTGGCAGTGCTGGGTTAATGATTGGACTCAATGATCCTAGAAGGCTTTTCCAACCTCAGCCATCCTGTGATTCCATGTTTTTTAAATTCAGCTGTAAATTCAGGCAATTGTCAGTTGTGGAGCCCAGGACAAACCACACAGATCTGAGACATGATTTAGCACAGAGATAACCAATAGCCACAACATTTTACACCGCTGAATTCCCCTTAGCTAGTGCAACCTGGAATATTCAGAGGCATGTTTTTATCTTCTTCTAGCAGTTTTGCTCCTGCTGGGACTGTCACTTTGTCTCTCTCTCCATCTACACCACACAACCCACTCTGCTGGCAGTTCAGGAAACCATATTCCAAGAGTTAATTAATTTGTACTGGAAAACGTCCCATATGCTACTCTTTTTGTTTATGGACGTAGAAAGCGAGTCGCAGAATTAATTAACGCTAATGCCTGTGTGTGTGTGTTGTTTTTTGTTTTTTTCCCCCCTTTCTTTTCTCCTTTCTGAACCAGAAAATGACAGATGGAGAGATCTCAGCAGGAAATGTCCACTCCAGCTCGAGCAGCCGGGCGCCAGCATCTGGGACTGCCTGTCGGACAAGGGCGAGGAGGGCTCGCGCTGGCCCAGGGACACGGCCGGCACCTGCTCCGTCACCAACCTGATCAAGGAGCTGAGCCTCAGCGACCCCCACGGCCACCCCTCCGCCCCTCCCAGCAAGCGCCAGTGCCGCTCCCTGTCCTTCTCCGATGAGATGTCGGGCTGTGGGACCTCCTGGAGGCCCCTGGGCTCCAAGGTGTGGACGCCGGTGGAGAAGAGGCGCTGCTACAGCGGCGGCAGCGTGCAGCGCTACTCCAACGGCTTCGCCACCATGCAGAGGAGCTCCAGCTTCAGCCTGCCCGCCCGCTCCAACCCACTCTGCGGCGGGCAGCCCAGGAGATCGGCTGCTGGAGGCCACGGGGGAGACAGGGTGGACATCCAGAGGTCCCTGTCCTGCTCGCACGAGCGCTTCTCGTGCTCGGAGTACGGCGCGCCCTCGGCCTGCAGCACGCCCGCCTCCACGCCCGAGCTGGGCCGCCGCGCCGCCGGCCTGGCCCGCAGCCGCTCCCAGCCCTGCGTCCTCAACGACAAAAAGGTGGGCATCAAGCGCAGGAGGCCCGAGGAGGTCCAGGAGGAGCGGCCCTCGCTGGACCTCGCCAAGATGACCCAGGTAAGAGGTGGTGGGGCTGTCCCTGTGAGGGGCTCAGGCGTTCTCAGGAGCCTTCAGCGTCCTCCACGGTGGGTGGTGTGAAGTGTGATGTGGATGTTATGGGGAAACACATCCTGCTGTCCAGGCAGAATAACCCCTTCCCTTCTAAATGGACCTCTTTGGCAAATTCATGCGGTTCTCTTCTCTTTGCACGCCAAGTGCACTGTGTCATTATTTCCTTCTGACGTGGGTTTTGAGCAGGAATATGTTAAACCCCACGTTTTTGAGTTCAGGGGAGAGGAGCCTTGGGCCTGCCATGGGTGAGATGAAGGCAGCACCCCAAGGCCCCCAGCCTTGGCTCTGTCAGGTGTTGAATTCTTACTGCTACAGGCTTTACTTGTGCTTAGGCTCTGTAATTTTCCACTCTAGAGATGTTATCATGTTTCATTTTCAGTTGCAAACACAGAGCACAACCTCCCTCTTCCATCTGCTGCTCACAGCCAGATAACAGACCTGAAGCACAAATCAGGGAGAACTTTGCTCCTTGATCCTCTCCCTGCTGGACCAATGACTGGACATTAGCAGGAGATAGAGCAAGAGGCTGCATTGAAGGACAACCTTTCCTTTTCACATTCAGAAGATTTCCTGCAGTTTTACGATTTGACATTTCCCACATCAATAGTTTTCAGTCACAAAGTCAATGACACATCAGCTCGGTGTGGAATGGAGATAATGGGGGGTGTGAAGGCCCCAGGGCTCTCACTGTGGGAGCAGGGGTGCCCTGGCCACATCCCAGGGTGGGCTGTCACCTTCTGCTGGCCTTAAAAATTCCCCAATGGTTTCAGTTCCCTGGGATCACCTGCTGTGCTTCATCCCAGAGTCACCTGTCTTGGGAGTGCTTGCCCTAAAGGTTTTTTGTAGAGCTAGGACCAGCAAAGCCTGTGTGGTGCAAGGCATCCCCTTGTCTGCAGGGAAACTGCTGGGAGAAATTCACCATATGGGTGAGATCCAACACTGTGTGTGCTTTTTCTCCTTACAAGAACATGATATTTTATGGTGTTCTGGGCTTGGCAGCACAGTGGTATTGGAGGAAGAGAGCATCTTTTCCTCCTCCAGAGGAGCTTGGAGGATAAAAAGGGTGAAGGAGTCACATATTTGGGTGAGATCAGGCAAAAAACATGAGGATTGCTCTTGTCTTTTCATAAATCACAGCAACAACACTTATTATGCCAAGCTTATTTTATTAGATAGTAAACTGGACAGTCAAAACCACATACATGGGTTGTTATACTTTACTAGCCACAGTGTGGAATAGCACAACTGCCCTCTGGCTCTCTCTGTACAAGCAGACAAGCATCATTTCACTTCCCTGGAAGTGTTCAAGGCCTCGTTGGATGGGGCTTGGGACAACCAAATCCAGTGGAAGGCGTTCCTGTCCATGGCAGAGGGTGGAATGAGATGGGCTTTAGGGACCCTTTCAGTCCAGACCATTCTGTGCTTGTCTGGCATGATGAACAGGGAAGGAGGAGACTGTCCAGGCTCTGGCTGGACAGACCTTTGTTGCCCTCAGGATGTTCTGAGGCAGCTTCTCCATTGCATCAGCCCAATGTTTGTTGGCTGATTTGAAAGAATGGGCTTGGCCTAGGAGATCCCGAGGGTCAGCAGGAGCTTCCCTTTTCTTCCAATGGATGCTGAGGCCAGGCACATGTTTATAATTTGTATGGCCATGGCTTTGACATGGGTGGGTGATCCAAAGATGACAAAAAATCCAATCACTTGGATGTCCAAAAGCAGCTCAGTCCATGTTCCTGGAAAACCCTCAGCTTGAGGAACAGTTGTGTTTTCTCTGGCTGCTGTCCCCTACATCAAAACACCTTCCAAAGTGAGAAAGCAATGCCTGAACGCTCAGCATCGCTCAGTGTCGGGGTGGTTCAACCCCTGGGAGAAGTGATACCACAAGGAAAGGCTCAGAAGCTCCACACTGTGTGGCACAAACTCTGTGGGAATGGGAAAGGGGTTCAGCATCTCTCCTAGTGTCCATGGGCAGCCCCTCTCCCAGCCCCCGCTGTCCCTCTGCTCCAGACTGGGTGGCCGGAGCTGCTGCCGAACGCCCGGCTGTTGCTACAACCAACAACCAACAACAGCATCACTAAGGAACTCCCCAGTGGGACCCAGTCCAAGCAGCTCCCATGGATATTTTCAGTTTCCAGGCAGGAAACCCAGCCAGGCTCAGGTGCCCGTGACAGCGGGTGAATCCCCAAGGCAGGGCTGTGCTGCTGGGTGTGGGGCGGCAGGGCTGGACCAGAGTGGGAAGAAAGGGGTTGGGCTCGATGATCTTGAAGGTCTCTTCCAACTTTGTGATTCTGTGAAAGCAGAGCTGTGCAAGGGCCAGGGTTTCAGAGCTGAGGGCTTGTGGAGAGCAGCACTGGCAGGCAGCTCTTGGCGTGGGAGGACTGGCACAGAGGGACGAGCAGGATGAGGCAAGTCACGGGGAGCATTCTTGCCTTTGGTGGGGCACGGTCAGAGCCCTCCCTGGGATGGGAAAGCCAGGAAAACCAACTAATTCCTGATGGGGAATAAATGTGCTTGAGAAAACCTTGCACATTTGGGTATCTCCCAGGCTGCTTTTAATGCTTCCAGCCCAGGAGATGCAAAATTGGGTGATTTCAGAGGAAGAGCTGAAATAATGGCAAGTATGGCTGCATGTGTCCTCAGGTCTGGGTTTATATGGGGTAGAAACACCTCGTATGCAGTGGGCAAAGCAAAGGACAGCCAAAGTGTCCAGAATGGACTTTCCAAATATCCACCAAGTACTCACTTTTCAGATGGTGAAACTGAGACATAGGGTTTTCCCTGAGTCCCTGAGCGCTGTTGTCAAAGTGGGAACTGAGCTTTGAGGTGCTGGGTACTGGATCAGCATCCGGCTCTGGCAGCAGATTGGTTAATTTTTCACTTGTGCTGGTAACCACGTGTGTTTGTAGGCCTGAAACCTGGTACCATAATCAAAATAAAAATAATTTGACCTGAAATAAATGTTTTCTTCATACTGGGAGGGATATTTAGGCCAGGCAGGAGGGGAGGGAGCCGCTCCTGGAAGCAATTACATGGCTACATAACTGGGCTAATTAAGAGAGAAAACTAAATGTTGAAGTTAAGCTGGCAGGGAGAATACTTAGGAAAATATTGCCTTTCATTCCTCAAAATCCTAGTTGTGTCTCTTCTGTCTGCAATTCCCATAGCCCAGAGAAGGAAGGTGAGCCCATATCCCTCCCTTTATTATTTGCTCATATGGCACCAAACCAGACAGGCTTCAACTTTGGGCAGAAACCAAACCCTGCACATGGTTGTCATTGAAATAGCAACAATTTTAAAAAGCCACAGGCACCAGGACAATCCTCTTGCTCCTTTTAAATGCACATGAACTCTTTGCCTTGTGCTTCTTTGCCTTCAAACTGGGAGTGATCAGGGGGGTCTTAGATGAGTGGCTGACAATGAGGTGTCATTTAATTATCCAAGCCCAGAAGCAGGTGAGGTGGGAAGAAGCTGGTTTCTATCTTCACCCCAGGCAAAGAGAGTTTGGGTGCCTGGCCTGGCATCTCTGACTTCCTTAACATGAGGGTATGAACCATCCTCTCATTTCAGCATAGGGTTTGGGCTTGCTTTCCATCCTCAGCTTTTATTCCTTCTTTCCACGTGAAGCACAACCCCAAGGAGGGCACATCCCACCTCCCTGAGCCCAGCAGTTGTTCTGGCAGAGTGGTAATGAATCTCCTCACGGCTTGCTCTCCTTCCCAGCACAGTGCTCTTGGCCTCACAGCCCCAGGGACTGTGTCTGTATGTGCAGGCCAGGTCAGAAATGGTTGGGATCAAATATTTTCATGAATTAGGAGGTTTTTCAAAGAGCTGGTTTTCCTTTTTCTGATGTGGGTACATCTAAAATAAACAAGAAATTAAAAGTGTCACAAAGGTGACAGGAGGTTTTTATGACTCCAGGAGTCCTCCCAGCTGGGCTGATTTTGGCAGGAATGAGTGGTTTTACCCTTTGCAAGTCACTCAGAGAAGCATCTGGGTGGATTAGGTGAGAAGATGGACTTTCTAAAATAAAACCACACTCTGCCAGGGATGCTGTGTGGTGGAGAGACACCCGCTGGGTTTTCCTCCCCCGTGGTCTGGTGGATTCTTCTCCAGAGGAACTTGACATGTCCCACCTCCACATCTGCTGCTTTCTGACATCCTGGTGTGAACATTTCCTGGGATCTCAGGCATTGTGTGCTGAAATATCTCGTGGCAGCACAAACATTGGGTTTGGTGGCTTGGCTGAGTCATTGACGGGAAGCTGAGCCATAGACCAGCCCTGATCTTGGTGTATGCAATTGCCTTCCTTCACACAGGCTCTGGGCAGCTGCAGGGGACACATGACACATCTCCCACACCAGGGACTGCCACCCTCAGTGGGAATTTGCAATAATCCCCAGCTGTGGCCACGCAAGCCCTCGCTATCTCTTCCCCATTCTGCTTCCTGCTGTCTAAAATTTTGATGTGGTGGTCATTGAGAGATTTCAATTTATGTTAGGATGGTTCCAAACACAGATATCCTTTATACAGATGTGGTTTTTAAATGGATAATTTATTTTTATGTCTGTGTTTTTATAGATATATATTTATGCATATATATTTAAATATTTAAGGCCAGGCTAGATACAGCTTGGAGCAGCCTGGTCTAGGAGAAAGTGTCCCTGCCCAAGTCAGAGGTTGGAATGTGATGGTCTTTGAAGTTCCTTCCAAGTCAAACCATTTTAATTTTCTAACTTTTAATGTATATATGTATTTGTTCAACCCAGCCATGTTGCCTGCAGCACAAACCCCAGACAGGAGTAGCCCTGGCTGGAAATGGAGGGTGGTGCTGGAGAGTTTGAAAATACAACTTTCCGTGAAAAGAAAGGCACGAATATCTCATTGGCATGTAAGGCTTTGCACTGCTGACAGGTATTGTCAGATGTGATGGGATACTGGTTCCTCCT